TCTGTGATTTTAAAGAAGTATTATGCATCAAAATTTTTTTAATTAACAAGTTTTTTTAACTAAAACAAAATCAATTTGTTAATTTTAAATAAGTAAAAATATCTTTTTTTTATTCAATGGTTATGAAGAGAAGTTACTCTTTTTCAAATGAATTAAAAAGAAGATATTAAATAAGATCTTATTAACAATTAATTACTAACTTTTATTTGAGACTTTAAGAATATCAGATTTTTAGAATGAGAAAACAAAAGGATGAGTTTATTTCTTAGTTATATAAACCAAATAAAATATTAGTTATTCTATTATTTTGTATTAAAATTACACTAGAAATAAACAAAATTCCATGATTTACTAAAATGATATTAATTATTTCCTTCAATTAATAAAAAATGTTTAAAGCATATCATTGTCTTACTTAATGATAGAAAACTACATACCAAAGCTAAGTCATATTCTTTACATTCAAAGCTAAGTATTATAATTAGAAACAATTTGTCTTTTAAAAAAAATATTTTAAATTAATTTAGAAATAACTAAGAGAGAAAGATTCAATTCTAAAATAAGGAAGTTGTATACTTTCTAATTCTAACTATTTTCTTTATTAATAAATAAACTTAAAAATTTATGAAAAAGATTCTTCTTTTTGGTTATTTAATGGGGTTATCTTTCTGAATATATTTATGACATGGTCATTGTATTTAAATAGAAAACAATTTCAATAATATAAGATGTACTATAGAAAAACAAAACTGACATTCAATCAAATTGATTGAATGAATTAAGAAAAAACAAAAAAATCGATTTAAGTTTCCATAGAAGGTTCTACCTTTTTTTTCTGGGAAGATTTTTTCTCATCAATTCTTACTTTTGGGTATATTTTCTTGATACTACCAAGGGGGTGGTTAGACATACAATAATAGATAATTCCTCGCTCTTTTATACTTTTTTTAACTTAGGTTGTTTTCAGAACTACTTGGTACCAATAATTTGAGAATAAAATAAACTTAATAACAATATAGTTCGTGATTGAATGAATCTGTAAACTAGTATTTCAAACTTAGTTGAATGAGTGTAATAAATGCTTGTACAATTACTAAGCCTAACTTCTGTCCTTTGTGTGGAAGTTCTTGGAATGAGGGGTGTTATTGTCAAAATCCTCAATGTGGGTGTTTATGGGCGCCATGTGAAAATCACCCAAATAATCCAGTTTTTTATCAAACCCCCTTAGAAACTCCAAGAAGTGGAAATAACACCCCACCCCATATTATTGTCCCTGAACAAAGTATTTCTCCTAGACCTGCATTTTTATCACTTCCAAGACCAACAAAACTTGCCCCAAAACCTTCTTTTATTCCTCCAAAACCACAATCAAACGCACCTCGTTTTAAAGTTAGAAGTTCACGTGAATCTCCTCGTTTAGAACAACCAAAAAGTGAACTTGGAACACCAAGAGAAGGAATAAAAAGCCCAAGAGTAATTGGTAAGGAAAAACGACGACTTAGTGGTGGATCAGTTGATTTAAAAAGTGAAACTAGCTTAGAAGAAACAGACAGAATAACAGAAACAAAAAGAAGGTCGTCATCATTAAATTCAGATTGTGATGTTGAAGTTGATGAATTTGGTGATATGTTATGTTCTCGTTGTGGAAGACCTGTATATGAAAATGGGATAAAAGCAAATCAATGTGTATTTCATGCAGAATGTTTCACTTGTGAAAGATGTGGATTACGATTTAATGAACGAAGAAAACCATTATATTATCATAAAAAGTGTATTTGTTCATCATGTTATTTGAAAACATGTCCTAAATGTGATTTGTGTTTAAAACCTATTACAGGAGCTTATGTACGTACAGACAAAAAGAAATTTCATAAAGAATGTTTTATTTGTTGTAACTGTCATAATGAAATAACAACAAAATACTTTGTTACTAATAAAGGTTTTACGTGTCTAAATTGTATAGAGAAAAAATGACTTAAATATTTTTCATTTTAACATAGTCTTCTATTGAAATTGTCTCTTTAATTTTCAATTGAATCAATAGCTTTTTGTTTTCATGTTGTTCTGATGTTTTTGATAAAAAAGAACGAAACATTGATTACAAGATAGGTGTCAATCTACATCATCTGATGACGAATCAAAATCTTCATATTCTGAGGCATTAATCATTTCTCTAGAATTAAATCCAAAACTACTTTTAGAAAGTTCTATTTGATGGAAACATACACACATAATAAGAACAACAAATGTATTTACAAGTTTCATTAAACATATAGGAATTGCTATAATGGATGAGAAGAGATAAAATAATTAAATAAAACAAACGTTCATTATTATGAGAATTTGTTTGTAAAAATAATTGTATTAAACAGACAGAAGTAATAATACTTGTAAATGAAGTTAAAAATATTAATCTTTTTCTATTAATTGGGTTCATTACTTCTGTGAAAGAAAAAAATTCATTTAAAAGAATCCAAAAGATTAATATTAATTGAAGTAAGTCTCTAATAGATTTAAAGTTATTAATAAGTGAAGTAGTTGTTGCAACTAATGGAGAATATTGATGAACTAAATTAGAGAAAAAGTAAAGTAGTAAAGCAGAAAGATACAAAATAAATAATATAGAGCGTAATATCCATTGAAGAATTGGATATTTTTCTTTAATTGCCAAAAAACGTAAATGGTCAACATGAAAAAAGATCCAAATGAATACTATAAAAATATAAAATTCCATCAATACATTGTCTAAATAATCCATCCAAGTATAATTTTTATAAAAACTTAATGAAATTATTGGATTAGTAAAGAGAATTACACTAAATAATAATAAAGTATTTAGTCCAGTATATATTGTCCAATGACAGGTATAAATTGTAATAATACAATAAAAAACAAATGAAATAAATACTATAAATACTAATGTTATTGTTAAAATCAAACTAAACAATGTTTGATTTCTAATTGCAGTTGATACACCTAAAGAAACTTTATAATCTGTTGTATTAAAAACATTATTAATATCTTCAATTGATATAACAATTAAATATTCTCCATCTTGAACTGCATTATCAGAAACAAATATAATATCATCACACTTATTAAGAAAACACCTAGTTGAATATGTTTGATTATGTAAATGAACAGTATCATATATTCCTTGAATGATATGTAACTGTGTTTGAGCATTAAACTCAATATTTTGGTTAACATTGTCTTGTGGCTCTAGTGTTAAATATACCTCAAGCCAATGATCATATTTTTCGATGTTTAAGTTCTCAACAAGTACATAATTTCCATTATGATAATATGAATTATTTATAATACTAGGTGATTTATTTCTAATTATTAATGACCTATTATAATATATGGAAATTCCTATTGATGTAATTAATAAAAAGAAAACAGTAATTCCAATTATTACAAAATGATGCCTTTTCATTTTGTCAATAACCAACTCGTTTTCCATTAAAAAATGATGATTGATTCATTTCAAGTTTATCATGGAAAAACCATTTTTCTGAATTAAATTAACTTAACTTATTTTGTTTTTTGTGTAGTTTTTTTAATAAAAAAAAAATCAATTTAGAATTTTAAAAAAAGAAAAAAGAAAAAATCTTGAATAATAAAAAGGATAAAAAACCTTTTCAAATGTATATCATTTCTCAATTTAATGACTCATTCAAAGTACCACCCAACAAATTAGAACATATTATTGTTAGTATTATTGATTCAATAAATACCAAATACCAAAATAAAGTTTGTTTATTAATCAATAAAAAGAAATAACGTTATTAAATTGAAAAATTAGATGATTGAAGGAAAAGGAATTGGAGTGACATTATATGATATTGTTAGTATGACAACACCAACTATTGCTATTGGAACAGGTGATGTATATTATGAAGTTGTATTCAATTTCATTATCTTTTCTCCATTTCAAGGTGAATTAATTGAAGGGAGAGTATTAAGAAGTCTTCCAAGTGGAATTCAAGTTACACTTAGTTTTACAGATTCAGTTTTCATCGACCAATGTTATTTTCCAGCCAATAGTGACTTGTTTGTTAATTTTTTATTTTAATTTCACATTTTTACATTGTAGTGATGAAGATGAACAACTTTGGTATTGGAATTATGATGGAACTAAACTTCCATTATACATTAATTCAACTATTAGGTTTAAAGTTCATCACGTTATAATGAAAAAACAAGAAAGCGTTAAACCAGTTGTTGTTCCACAAACAACTCTTATGTCTAATAATTTAAAACAACAAAAAGATGAAAAAGGAGAAAAACCAAATGAAGAAAAAAAAGATATAAAAAAAGAAGAAACAAAAACTGATGAACAAACACAACAAGACTTTAATCAAGAAGAGAATGAAGAAGAGAAATTACCATTAAGAATTTATGGTAGAATTAATGAAAGTGGTCTTGGACTTACAACATGGTGGAGTTAAATGATTGAAAATAAAATAAATTCTTTTTGAATTTAACAAATTTGATGTTTTTGTTTTATTAAGGAATCACTTTCACTTTTTTATATTTTTGAGTTCATCAAATACTTTTGATAAGATTATATCTTATTAATGTTAATGAGTTGATAATTATAGTATCTCTTTATGAATTGATTTCTAAAGTCTCAAAGAAATATTAATGGGTTGAATTTACTTAATTACTGAGAAATAGTATATGAAAATATATTAAAAGATGAATTATTTTAACCATTTAATTATAGAATTATATTAATATGTCTAATTAACCTAAAAATAGTTATAAAATAGTTATTTTTACTAAAAGAATAATAAAATAAATTAAGTAATATTAACATAAAAAAGAAGGAAAAAGTCTATTTTTGTGATTTAGTCAACAGGACGAATTAAAAAAAAAAGAATATTCCTCAAAAAACCGAAGAGTTGGTTCAATTCTCATTAATATAATACAAAGAATTTTGTGCGTCAGCAAATTGAATACGATCTTTAAAATAATTACTACGGATGTTGGAAATGTTCGTACAAATTATTCTTTTTATAACATTTATTAATGAGATAATAGCTAGTGATATTGTTGAAGAACAAAAGAAAGAAGGATATCCATGGTGTGATATTGATAAGAATATGTCATGGTGTGATATAAATGACGATGGAATTATTTATCTAATAGAAGACAATGAAAAGGCATGTTATTATGATGAAGATAAATGGAGAGGATGGATGAGTAGATGTAATGAAAGTAATGGGATATGGAAATATGATGAATTTGTTATCCAGAAAGATTGTTGTGGAAAAGATTATCAAGAAGCACCGTATAATAATGAATTAGTAATTATGGACACAGTTCGTGATACAAACAAAGTTATTAAATTTAGTGCACAAACAACAGCATATTCAAGAGAATATCTAAACCTTACAATATATGAAACATTTAAAGATGTTCAATTAAAATTTCTATTAGAATATATGTTAGAGAATAGTGTTATTTCATTATCACGTTCAACTGAAAATAATGAAAGAAATCCAAGTATTTTTGAAATATATTCAAATTCATTTGAAATAAAAATATTAGAAACAAGTCAGCCAGAATATGTTTTATTAAAATATAATAAAGTTATAACACCATTTGTTAAAGTAACAGGAGAGGCAAATATAATAGTTGAAGATAATATAATTCAAGAAAATGATCCATGTGAATATAGATTTACTTCAAGTAAAGATATTGAATTATTTAATACAATTAATTCAAATAATAAAATAGAAATAATGTGTTCATTTAATGAATATAAAAGAATGGCAGTATGTGGTAAAAATGTAGAAATAATTTCAAATTGTAATTGTGAATATGAAAATCATGAGTATCTTAATAATATGGTTGATTGTTCATATTTTAATGAAGAATTAATTTTTTTTATTCATGAAAGTCAAATTGAAACACCATTTCAAACAAGATGGAAAAGTTTTACAACAAATGGAAATCCAACAACATTTTATATTGAAAAAGGAAGAAATATAACATTTATTGGTGATGTATATCTTCCAAAAACACCAGTTTATTTTGAATATGGAAAAGTAATTTTTGAAGGAACAATTTATTTTAGTGATGAAGATGGATTATGTGATTTAGGAGAATATAATATAAATAAAGTTAATATTGATAAAGTTACAAATAATAGACATATTCTTTTTGTTGGTAAATGTGGTATGGGACATGAAAATTGTCAAAATTTCATTAATAACAATAAATTTAAAGAAGTTAAATGTGGAGGAAGTCAATCAAGAATATTAAAAGAAAGTAGTCAATTAAAATGTGAATGTGAACAAGAAAATGAACTAAATTATATTCAAAGTGATTGTGAATTATTTTCTATTCATAAAGAATATTCATATGATTTATTTATTAATTATAATTATAATGGAGGAAATAATATAAGGTATTGGAATTCAATTACTGTTAATAATAATAGTATTGTATTTAATGGTTCTAAAACTATTGTTAAAAAAATTTGTGACTTTACTAAAGTAGAAAGATTAGATTTATTTGGTTATTTAAGTTGTAAAGAACTTCATTTAAAATCAACAACTAGAATTATTGGACATGAAAATACTGAATTAAATACTTATTCTATATTTATTGATGGTAAAGTTAATAATTTAAATAAAGATGCTCTTATTCAAATAGGAAAAGGAAAGTTTTTATCTGATGGTTCTACATTATTTACTTTTACTGAAGAAATTACAGAATGTTTTGAATTAGTAAGTTCATTACAAGAATTAAGTAATTCAATTAATTCAGATAAAATAAATCAAGAAGGAAAGAAATATATTAATGTTCAAGTAATAGATAAGATTGTAAGAATTTGTCCATATGAAAAAATAGATAAACAAGTAAAATGTGATGTAATAGAAAATACATTCAAAACATTTAATTATGAACAATGTCCATGTAATGGAGAATATTGTTATTTTTATTTAGATAATTTAAAATATAATTCTTTATATTTAGATGAAACAAATAAAATTACTGGTAATATTGTTTTATCAAAAAATTTTACTATTAATTCTATTAGAGGAGAAGCTTTTATTTATAATATTCTTTTTGATGACACTCATTCTAATTATGTTACTTCTATTAATGGTAATTGTATTTTATCTTATACTTCTCATATTCCTCAAACCTTTATTTTAAATGGAAAATTAACACTCTCTAAAACAACTTCTGCTCATATTATTTCAAATACAAATAGAAGTTCTATTGTTTTTCAAAATGAACCTTCTTATCTTAAATTAGATGCTTATGTTAGTACTTCTGTTGAAATGATAAATGGAATAGTTCAAATGGGAAATAGAAGATTAAATGATATGAATGGTATTGTTATTTCAAATTCATATAAAGGTTGTTTAATTGGCTATTTTGAAGAACATAAATTTTCTTGTATTACTTGTTCTGATGGTCTGTTTACAAATAACTGTTCTTCTTCTACTAATGTTTTATATTGTCAATCTTATAATTCATTGAATCAATGTATTGAATGTGTTAATGGTTATTTTCTTAGCGATAATTGTT